AGATGTTAGGTCTGGGAACTCACAATTGGGATACCTCAATCCGAGGGGCGGGATAAACGGTTGTCTTTTAATATCCCTCGGCACGCAATAGGATAGCGCTACAACCAACCAGAGCAACGCACGGCTGTGGCTGAGTGAGTCCCATGCGTTTTTCCACCAGTGAACCAGCTAGTTGGTATATTAAACTTTTGCCGTATCCGGTCGTCAAAACTCTGAACACATCTTTCTTTTTTAGGAATGACTTAAGTGACGTTCTCTTAACTCCAAGTCATCCAGAGTCGCGGGCAAAGCCGATTCGAAAGACCGCTGTTTACCAGCAGCATCTTCTTTGTTTTCAAGCGGAGGGAAATCACCTATGGAAATCACGCAGAACCGTCATAACTCTGCCGTCATTATGTTAAGCCCGCCCACCAACTCTACACGATCTGATTGGCCGGACCAGTTTTTGTTTTTTCCAGCTCAAAAGTCTATGGAGAGTTGCTAGACCACACTTTGCTGCAAAATCATTTTTGCTGCCGCTAGGGTGCGTCTAGATTTCTAGGCTAGGTAGTGGGCTCCTTTCCAAAATAATTATTTTAGTGTTTTGTCGCCATAGTTGGTATAGTGGGCGAGTTGACTGAAAAGCCACGGGTAATATTTTAAAAAAAGCCCTTCTCGGGCTTACGCAGGGAATTTATGCGTATTCCATGTAGCGGTCGGTTCTTCTGTCACTTTATGGCTGAGCATGGTGTAGGCAGGATTCGAAGACGAGGAATAAAATGAACAGACTTTATTATCAGAAAGATAACTCAAAATTATGTATTTACCCCCAACTCTCTTTGCAGAACACACAATCCTTGCTCCCTCGTCTCCCCAACCATTTCCTCCTGCATAATCTTTTTTTTTTCTTCTCCTTTTCGCTGCATATCAGTGCACAGACAATTTGGATCCAATCTTCTTGCAGGCTATCATTTTTTTAATAACAATTTCAGTCTCGCGCGAGAACTCCGGTCTCACGCACACGTGATCTTGCGTCATTTCCTTATCACTCCTCGCGTGTGTTTGGTTGTGAAATGTTTGCGGATCAAACAGAATTCTTTCTTTTGTAAAGTCATGCAGTGTGAAACCTCCTGTCGCCGATCCATAGTGCAGTGTGAACACAGCAGCAACTGAATGTTGCCCCAGAAAGTCGTGCAGTGAGAAAAGAACAGTGACCCGACTACTTTGAAAATCGTGCAGTGTGAACTCGGCATAAGGTGAACATTCCGAGTTCTGATGCATTTAGAAAGCCCCAAAATCCTCACTTATAAATTATAACTAGGCTACTATAATAACATCAATCTATTATGAGATATATGAGCTGCACAATTCTGAAGATATTTATGCATCATACCAACATAATCAAATAAAATCGAACTCAATTCCAAACAAAGTGCAGATTTTGTGAAGCATCACATAATTTAGTGAAGAATTGAATCTGTATTGAATTGTTGTTAAAGCAAATATTTAAATATTGTGAACACTCAGTCTATGAGTAGCTAACGACATCTGACTGTAAACCCACGCTGAAAGAATAGCACAAATACTTACCGTTTCTGAAGTTTATGAAATTATAGTGCATGTAAAAATTCCATTACACACTCCATTATGCAAATAGTGCTTCAGTAAATATGATTCAGTAATGTGCCGTTAATCTCTTTTATGCATGCCCATGAAGCAAATTACCAAACATTAATAGCACCAATTCAAGATTCACAACATGTGACCTCTCTCTCTTTTTCTGTCACAGTTTTTTCCCCCTCCCTCTCTGTCTTTCTCGGTGAATTGTGGAATTGTCTCAGGTTATGAATACAGATTCTTGCAGAGAGGTCACGGTTTCTCATAGACCAATGTAATTTTATCTAGCAACAATTCTTCCTGCAATAATGTGCATGAATAATGCATATGCTACCTGTGTAAGCTAGTTGTAGGGCGACATTAATGTGTGCTAATGGCTGCTTGTGGCATTTACGGAGATGCTGCATCTTTGACATTCTTAAGTCTGGTACGATGGTGACACTTTTATATTAATTCAAAATAATAGTTTCATTTGACATTTGGAATAATTTAGTATAGGCTTGCCACGATATATGATACTGACTCAGACATAGCGATAACAGTTTGAAATTTTATAATATCAACAGTTCTATTTTAATTTGATCATTTGAACAGATACATTTTCTAATAGCCTACACCTATTAATAGAAAAATCCAGAAAAATATTGAAAAATTACCTTTTATGTCTGACTTTGAATAACTATGACACAAAGGTAAGTGGGTTACACACATCCTATTGTGTAATAATAGAGTGAATCAAACACTGCTAAGGTAGGCTATCAATTAGCCACATTTAGAAGCCACAATTGAAATCAAATTTCCTTGCATTATTGCGTACAGGATCTTGCCCAATAAAATACACTATGCGCTAGGCTAGACCATAGCTCCAACCGACGGTATGTCAGTTTGAACATGGATACCGCACTGGTGTGAAAATTACATTGTAGTATGTCTAGTGTTGCATTGATATCCATATAAAATAATACTTTCTTGTAACTTTACACAAAGAGTGTGCTTATCAGTAGAGCAACTGAGATGCAACACGCTTAAGCATTTCCCTACATCTTCTCCGTTGTGTGAATATGAGAAACCAAAGGGTGTGAATATGAGAAACCGAAGGGTGTTAACAGAACACAGATACTCACCACCCACAGATATAAAAACAAATATTCACTCACACCCTATAAATTTGTATTCCCCACAGTTGAAGTGTTAATTAATAAGAATGACATGACTACAGCATTTACTTGTTGATTTAATTAAGCAATGTTGTGAAAGTATTGGCTATGGTTTATGGCAGCTGTCTGGACATCATTCCAGAAACAAAATCATTCACACTGACTGAATCCACAATACCTTTATCTTTTGTGTGATGAAATGATGAAGATAAAGATAAAAGTAAGGAAAAGTAGACCTGACTGTTGCCTTTGAAACAGTGAATCACAGTAATCCAACAGCTGGGCTTGGGGTGCTTCATGGTTCAGTGTTGGGCCCACTAAGATTTGTTTTTTAAAGTTTCTTGCTCACCAAGGCTGCATTTATTTGATCAAAAATAAAGTAAAAAACAGTAATATTGTGAAATATTATTACAATTGAAAATAACTGTTTTCTATTTTAACATATTTCAATATATTAAAAATATATTTTATATTATATAAAGTTATTTTGAAATGTCTATTCATCAAAGAATCCAGGAAAAACAGCATCACGGTTTCCGCAAAAATATAAAACAGCAAAAACAATAAGAATTGTTTCTTGAGCACCAAATCTGAATTTTGAATGATCATGAGAATACTGGAGTAATGACTGCTGAAAAGTCAGATTTGCCATCACAGGAATAAATTACATTTTTTTTAAAATATATTCACATAGAAAGCAGTTATTGTAAATGGTAATATTTCACAGTATTACTGGTTTTACTGTATTTTTGATCAATTACATGCAGCCTTGGTGAGAATAAGAGACTTTTATATAGAGTCATCATGGCTTAAGTGACAGTACAGTTCAATTCTGTAATCAGCTTTACCTAAGGGTTACTCAGCAGGAAAACAGGAACCTCACACCATAGGTGACCCTCAGCAGAGAGGAAGCGAATTAAATTGACCCTGAGGTGAATTAACACCCCCGCTGCATACAGGAACCCAACTTAGCCTAAATGAATAGGGTGCCGCTCACAGGCTGCTGTATTCATTCCTGATGATTAGTTATTGTCGGTGCTGCCGACACTTTTATGCAAAGCAATTTACTAATTGTGAGGAGCATGTTGAGGTTAACAGCCCTGCACTTACAATCGTCACGTTTAAAGCGTGGTTTATGGTCAAAGGTATGAGGAAGAATAACCCAAGTTCAATGTCGTACAGTCAAAGCAGTTTTCACCATGTTAGATTTCTGTATTCAAAGTCCAGAGTGCCAACCATTTACACCATACAATTACACTAACATGCATAGAGGTGATTGTGTGAGAATAGAGCCTGCTCCCCACTTGCTGCAAAGAATAATAAAGTAAAATCAATGTTGAGCGTGTGTGTGTGTGTGTGTGTGTGTGTGTGTGTGTGGAGAATGGCCACTCTATGCTTTGGTCAGGCCAGCGTATGATTCCACACTGCATCACATCGACTGGCTGCACTCCAGATTACTAATCCTGAACAGCTGCCTGCTGTTAAATTATACACACCGACAGGTGTTAACCACACATACACACAAAACACAAGCACACACATTTATAAACATGCGTACATAGATCATACATAAACCCACACACATGCATATGCTAGAATATTATATATATTGATCATGTATGAAAGGTCCAGTTGCCCGTGTCATATAATATGTGTATGAGCTAATCAGATAACAACATTTGGGGGGCATGGTGTGTTTTTTTTAAAGCCATAATCTATATGAGCTAATTACTCAGGGTTATAGCTAATTACTAGGAGTTATAGCTGGGTAACCAGGGCAGAATTACACCCTTTCTGGGTTTGCAAAGACAACAAAATGAGGCTTGACACATCATGCATATAATCAAAATGTTATTTCTAGATCAAATGTGGATAATCAGATTTTTATGGGCAAACAGGATTTGATAGCATTCCTGTTGGACATGTCACAAAACATTTTTCTTTTCTTTTCTGTGACTACAATACCCGCTCTGCTCAAAAGGGGGAGCTCTTAGTAAAAGCAGCTGTGACAGAAGTCCATGAAAAGAGATGCATTTTTGTTATAAGACTCACTGGTTAGATTCTGTAGGGAGTTGATCGATTCTGTCTGGTTCATTTCCAACAAGTTCCAAGGCTAACAGTAAAAGATGCTTTCATAATGAAAGCTTACGAATGCGGATTTGCCAAAGGGTAAACATAATTGCATCTAAGACCAATTGATTTACTACAGGATAAATAATGAAAGAAAAACAGACAGCGTAAAAGAGATATTTCTAAATTGTTTAATGCAACATTATTGTAAAATCGTAACAGTAAGGTCTGCTGACAAAGAGAAAAATCCTTATAAGGTCCCAAGAAACATTTCACAGTCACTCATGGATAGACCATGGAAAGAGAACCATTCTAGTCAAAGTATTTTGGTGTTCATAATAATGATAACAGACAATCAGACCACCAACAATAGTTTGTATACAATGTGAAATCTGCATCGATTAAAACATTCTTACACACACACGCACGCACACACACGCATACAATTGCAAATATACAAACAAATCTTGGTTTAATTTTAGGTACATGCAGTGAAATACTGTATAAAAATAGACATTTGAATTGCTTTCTGTACAAACACATATATACACATATATAAATACGTAGTAAAAAAAACATAAAAGGCATTTACAGTCACATTGTGTTCACTTTTGTACAAAAGACCAAAAAGTCATACCAAGTAAACAATATTAACCGAAAAGCTTCCACATGCGACTCAATCAAGGCTACAGCGCTGAACTCTCTCCCTTTCTCCTCCTTTAAATGATTAGTTCACTCTACGAAAATAGAGCGAACGAAAAAGAATGAGATAGGGAAATGTTCTTTATCAGATTGTTGCTTAGCTCTGGCGTACGTCCTGAAGCAATTTGTTGATTTCGGCAACCAGTTCACTAGCGTCGACCACTTCGTGTCTCGTGTCGTTGCGTTTTCCCTGCCGCTGGCTGAGCACGCTCTCCAAGTCGTCCTCTTCGTAGTTCTCTGGAATCTCCTCCATCGCCGGCAGCCATTTTAAGTGTGCCTGCGAGGCCGCATGATTGGTTGAGCCATGTCCGCTAGTCACGGCACCACCGGGATTCTGAAAGTGAGTATTGGCCGCCCACACAGCAACACCCTGTGGGTAAGAGGGACCGGTAGATGACGCTTTACCCGGCAGGAAGCCCTTTCTGATCTCCATGCCAATGGAGTAAGGGGGCGGGCCGGCGCATTCTTCGAGCTCTCTGACCTCAGCGTAAGAAGGTGGCAGGAGACGTTGGAAGACGTTGTTCATTTCTGACAGCAGAGAGCTTCCGCATTCCTCATCGTTGTCCTTTCCGAAGGTAGAAAAGCTCTTCTTAGCTGAGTCGACTGACTGCTGGTCCTCTTCGAGGACCTGAGGCCTGCTCTCTTCTCCGGGGATGTACATGTTCACACGGTAATCCGAGGACGCCTGACATGGCATCCAGCACTGGTCAGAGTGACCCAACACACGGCACTCCTCCGTACACAATCTCATGACTGCTTAGAGAAAGACAGAGAGACATTTCTCAGTGGGTTTTTAGAAGCTAAATCAATCAAACTTGGATTTTAAACATTATCCCCCAGTTTCACAGACCAGACTAAAGCCTAGTCCCAGACTAAAATGCATGTTTGAACTGTTTTAACTGAAAGCAACTATCTTAAAATATGTCAGTGTCATTGTTTTGTCTCAAGATGCACAACAGTAATGTTTTTTTCTTCTAAGGAACGCTAAAAAGGATACATTTCTAAAAGCTAAGTAAATGTTCTAATTGAACTAAGACCTAATCCTGGTTTAGTCCAAGCCCTGTCTGTAAAACCAGTCATTTTTTAAACTGTATTTTTCATACCCCTGTCTAATTTCCATCTGTTTTAATTACTATTTTAGAAGAAACATCTGAGACAACGTTGATACTATACTGAAATTAAAATAAATCTCCTGAGCTATGAAAGAGCAACCTCTGAGCAATGACATTTTCTCTGGGCATGTGAAAAATGGCAGAAAGGAAAGTGAGGAAAACAAAGGGATGAAAGAGAATGGGAAAACGAAGAGGGATGATAAGGTGAGGAAGTTAGAGAATGGATTTCGGAGGTGGGCGGGTGGGTTATAGGGAGGGAGCTTGAGAAGCAGAGGAGATTGAGAGTTTGTCATTCTTCCATTCCAGTTTCTCTTGTAGAGGCTGACATCCTTTGTTAAGCTGGATTATTATTCATTACTTTGGCAGTGCTCCCTCGCACAAATCAGATATGACTGAATTTGAATATTAGAGACAAAGCAGCAAGGGGGGAAAATGAAGAGGACAAACTGGAATTGGGATGGGGAAAAAAGCAACTGAGCGAAAATTACAATAAACTACTTTGGTGAGGAAAGGGTGGAACTCTAATCGATGCACACAGGTTGCTTCTTTCTCTCTATAAAAGAGGAAGAGCAGGGCTGAAATAGCGGCCCTCTGGGGAGAAAAGAGAGTGTGTGTGTGTGCGGAAGGGGGGTTTAACTGCATTGTGAAAGCAATTACGGTGAATTTTCCTCAGTTCAGATTTTGAAAGCATAGGGCTGTCACTCAGAGGAGAGAATGAATACAGGGAAATAACACTCCAGTCCACGCCTCCACACACGCACATCCACATACACTGTCTTAAGCTGCCGATAAAACAGATTGACATTGCAAAAGGTGGTGGTTACAAAAATAACACGATTTCAACCAAGAACCACATAATTCACAGGCGTTTTCCTTAATTTTCTCCTGCATATTGAGTGTAAAAGCACAGCGCAGGTCATTTAATTTATTCCTGCACCTGTTTACAACGTAATAAAAGTAAGTCACGGTAGACTGGGTGTTAGACTGCATCATAAATGCAATGTGCTCGATATAATCAAGCTGATGAATGTCATAATTCAGGGTGATAAAAGGTGAGAAACCAAATGAGAGACCAATCAGACTCAATTTCTCACCTGGGTGGAGACGATGGTGTCCATCGCTGTGGAAGAGGTCTCCGAAGCCGTCGCCTAGCAACCGGTCGATGGGCGAATCGCGGCCCATCTCGCAGTCGCTGTCGCCCGCATCACTGTCGCCACGCCCACTATCTTTCAGACTGAACTTATCCATGTCCTGGAGGGCGTACCTGCACACACATTCACACAAACAGTTACAGGTTGATCATGATGCTCTGGATCATACTGTATAAAATATACACTATTTGCAAAATTCGAATCAAATCAATCACTAAACTCAATCACCCCATTTAAAGGTGATTTGTAAGAGAAATCAAACATGTAACACATTCAGAATGGCATTACATGTTTAATTATATGAAGTCAGCTAAAATACTCGCAATACAAATCATCTCTATGCATTGCATACAGTCTATGAACATGCATATGCAAAGCAGGCAAGCACATGCCCCACCCATCATTTTACCTTTGTACAGACTATAATCTTTATTTAACCATCATTTAAACAGATCTATTCAGTGATGTCTCTTTAGCACCATGCATTTATCTCACACCCAAAAAATGGAGTAATGACCTTTACATATTTTGATTCACATCAGCAGAGGCGTGCATGACAAAAAAAGTAAAACTACCTAAAGCTAGTGTTTTTAAATCATCAACGTGACATTGAAATGCATAATTGTATGGAACAATGGTTTTAACAATATGCATGGGATAAAATGACATGATCCAAGAACAGAACGCAGATGAGAGGAAAGAAAAAAGGCACAGAAAGCAAGCTATGACCTCATGTGAGGAGCAGTCCAATCAGGATCTGCGAACGTGGGTGACCACGGCAACAGGGAAGTTCTGTCCTATTCTACCACAAACATTTTAGAATACCTATCATCCAATCCGATCGAACCAGCAGCACACAACAGGTTGAGTATCACTACCCATCTACTCTACCATAATTCAGAGCAGATCATGTCCATATAAGGAGTTGGAGCTTGGAGCGTAGTATTTGTTTGTTTGTTTGTTTGTTTGTTTGTAAGTTTACCTGTAGCTGCGAGAGTATTTGTTCCCTCTGAAGCTGGGCCGTGGCTGATACTGACCCTGATGGAGTATTGAGAGGAGCTGTGAGACTTGCTATAGCAAAAACAGATGACATAAATAAAAATAAATACTGATGGAACACGACACTCATTCACACACGCACACACACAAATGAACAAAATGAAAAGTGTTAGTGCGAGAACAACACACAGAGACGTGAATGTTATGTTTACATAGGTGAATGAAAAGATGAGTATAAACAGATGATTTCACAAGCTCTTTATGAAGAAAAGCACCAATTACACTGTTTCAATTGACATTCAAAGACTTGCTTTTACCTCCACAGGGGGCGTGGCATGTGTAAGCTCCAGGGCGAAGTTCTCAGGGATGTGATTGGAGGAAATAGTGACCAAGCTGTTTAGCGAATGGCGGCTGTGTTGGCTCTGCCGGGTGCCCATGTGGGCCCGTTCTGGTCCGGGCGAGGAGGTTGGCGAGCGATGGTGCGCCCGGATCGGGAGGGTCCCGTTGACAGTTGGCATCAGGGTGATGTCACCCTTATGGATCTGCCGTGAGGGTTTTTTAGGGTGCTGTTGGTAAGTAGACTCAGCCACCCTGCAGTTGTATGAGCGAGTGTCCTTCTTTTCACGTGAGCAGCGTAGGGCAAAGGCCACCATGATGAGAAGTAGAACAGCACATATCGCCACAAGGGAGATGATGATGATCATTGACACGTCTAGAGGGCCATCTCCAGATCCTCCACCTGTTAGATGGGGGTTCATGTGGTTCTCAATGTTTTCATAAAGTGAAAGCCTCAGTAGGGCTCTGGCACTAAGGGGTTGGGCACCATGGTCCTGCACTAGGATGGTCAGCTCCACGTGATCCTGTGGAATGTCCTGCATGCTGACATTGGTCCGAATTTCGCATGTTTTAGCATCCATGGCGAAGTAACCTGCCTCGTTGCCTCCTACGACAGAACATGAAAGGTCACCGTTGGTGCCAGCATCACGGTCTATGGCACGGACGACAGTTACAATGTCCCCGACCTCTGCGTATTTGGATACGGGAACATCAGCCGTGTGGTTCCACAGCTGAGGCATCATGATGACCGGTCTGTTGTCATTCTCATCCAAGACGGTCAACACAAAAGTCACGTTACTACGCAGCGGAGGACTTCCAGAATCCCGGGCCTGGACTAAGAACGAGATCTGACTTACGTCTTCACGATCAAAAGTACGCAGAGCATAAATGTCTCCGTTAGAGGGGTCAATGGTGACGTAAGTGGAGATGGAGCTCCCATGGATCATACTTTCAAGTATGGAGTAGCTCACTTGTCCATTTGGGCCCAGGTCTGGATCTGAGGCCTTCACAGATGACAGATAAGCTCCTGGTGAGTTGTTTTCTGCCTTGGAAATCTCATACCTGCTCTTCTCAAACCTCGGCGCATTGTCGTTCTCATCCTGGACCTGCACAGTGAAGCGTTTTATGGTAGATAAACTTGGAGAGCCTTTATCTTCGCCAATAACGGTCAAGCTGAACTCTGACCTCTTCTCTCTGTCCAGAGTGACATTTGTTACAATCATGTAGTTCTTCTCATATGTCTTCTGCAGCCTGAAATGACCCTGGCCGTGGAGACGGCACTCCACCTCTCCATTCAACCCAGAGTCCAGGTCATCTACCCTCACCAGAGCAACAAATGAATCTACAGGAGCTGTCTCTGATATATAAGCTATCTCCTCGTTTCCAGAGGACATTAAATTAATACTAATGTCAGGTTTGTTGTCATTCACGTCCACCACTTTGATTATGACTTTACAGTGTGCTGGCATTGAGTTGGGGCCCATGTCTTGAGCTTGAACATCTATGTCAAACGAATTTGTGCTTTCAAAGTCAACTTTCCTCATCAGTGTCAAATGACCGTTATCAGAACTAATTTTAAAGGTCTCTAAAATTTTAGGTGACACGTGACTGCTAAAAGAATATACGATTTTCCCATTGGTCCCTTCATCTGGGTCAGTGGCATTCAGATCAATAAGCAAACTGCCCAAAAGGGAATTTTCAAGCAAATTGATCACATAAGATGGTTTCTCAAATACCGGATTGTTGTCGTTCGAGTCAGCTATGCTGATTTTCAGGAGCGTTGTTCCAAATTTTGGGGGAACGCCCCTGTCTGAGGCGGTGAGCTGGAGTTCATAACTCGCTCGCACCTCTCTATCCAGCTCTTTAAGCACAATGAGCTCAGCGTACTTGGCGCCATCGGTTCTAGTTAGAATATCAATCTTAAAGAAGTCAGATGGGGTCAGAGAGTATGTGTTCAGAGAGTTCTCCCCGACGTCTGGATCTGTGGCGCTGTCAAGGGGAATGCGCGTCCCCACGACGGCGGTTTCGGAGATCTCTATGGGAATGACGGGGCGCGCGAACTGTGGCGCATTATCGTTAATGTCCAAAATCTCCACTTCGATGTGGAACAGCTGCAGGTGCTCCGTGGGGAGGGTGAGGACGTCAAATTCGATAGTGCAGTTAAGATTCTTTTCGCACAGTTTCTCGCGGTCTATTTTGGTCCTGATGCTAATCTCTCCATCCTGGTCGCGCACGGAGAGAAGAGACGCGCTGCCGCGCTGCATGGCTCTAAAGCGTAACGGAATCGAGCTCGGAAGTTTGGACAAAACATCAGCGACATCTTCTCGAAGTCTGGCGATTACTGTACCCACCTTCTGCTCTTCGTAAACTTGGTATTTCAGAGTTTTAGCCGAGACGTGTTGTGCCAATGTTACGAGCACAGCAAGTTTGAGTAAAGTGACACAGAACACTGTGCCCTTGCTGGTATCCATGTTGGGTTCCGACAGGCACACAAATAAACTCTCAGAATGATTGTCGTTTCCTTTGTTGTACTGGCTCAATCCTTCACATGCGTTGTTATGGTCTCAAAAACATCTCCAGATGCGAAAGAAAACGTCTTCTCAAAGGGTTCCGACGTACAAAATGGGTCTTGACAAATAAGCAGAGTGCAGGAGTATAAAACAAGCAATGACATTAAAACCAAAAGCGCATATCCCCCTGTCACTAAGGAGAAATCTGTTGCGCGTATCAAGAGACTGGAAGCGCAACCTCCGTCTGGAGAGCCTGTGTGCGCGCGTATCTGTCTCCCGCTGTCTGAAGACACTCTTTGAGAGACTAACCCAAAATAGCAAAGCCTCCTTTAGAGCCACGGCTTCAGACAAAACGCTTCTCTTAAATCAAGGGCTGCCCCTTCTCTCTGCGACTGACCATTCAACACAGAGCCACTATAGATCCCAATTAAATGAAGGGGAGAAAGGAAGTGGATAACTCCGCCCTTTAGGGTCTCTCTCTCCCCCTCTCTCTCTCCCTCTCCCGAACGCGCTTCAACAAAGGATGAGAGAGCAGAATTTAAGAATAACTCGAGCTGAACTTTCCCTCTGGATGAATGCCAATACAATTTATTCACTTATTATTTACCTCTAGATTAAGGATCGTAGAATGTTTGTTTGGTGAATTTGTGTAGCTACAGAAAATATGCATTTAGGCTATAATATGACCTCATTTATGAATCTAAATGTGTTTGGTGAGACCCACTTTGTTTAAACATCTGTAACTATAATTATAATAGAATAATCATAATATAAATATAACAATCCCATATTTTTTCTGCTATAAAATAAAGTAGTTTAGAAAGCTTACTTATTCTAAAACTGTATAAATTAACATAAGATTGTAAACATGAAAAGATACCATTTAGGGTTCCTGAGATCACCCCCTGGAGAACCTGTATCTTTAAAAAGAGAGGAACTTCCAAGGTGGAACGCATAAATTCCCCCAAGAACTCCAAAAACACTAATTGTAACCATAAGTTTCCCAAACACTCTTCAGAGGATTCTGCCAGTGTGACAATCTTATAAGAACCACTAATAGGATTGTAACACCAAATTAAAACATCAACATTAATTATTATGCACAGAGGGCAGTCTGTTGCTCTGACATATAAAGGGCTGTTGTGCTCATGGTCCTGTTCCACATTTTACTCCATGTACATTTCTGTTGCTTCTCCATCATTCAGTAAAAAAAATTAAAAAAATAGAGAGACAACACAAACCAAACAAAACCTGGAAGCAAATATAGAACTATAAAACAGATCGAAAACCATGACAGTGTTTGTGTCTCATGATCGTGTCCAATACAGGTGTTCTGACGATTCATGCTACCCATCGAGATTTGCTACTTGCGCATGTGCAGACGCACAGTTTTTTATAACAAAAGGTACATTTTCATGTGTTATATTGTAATTTCCCTTTAAAAATGCTAACTAGCATATGAATATGTGTACGGTCAGCCAGCTGAACAATAATAACTGAAAGTTTCAGTTAGGCTACTAAGGAAAAGTGTGCTTTGACAAGTCAAAGATGAATATTTGATGATAATTTTTAATTTTCACACCGTTTTAAAAATAAAAACAGTAGTCTAAAGTATACAGTAGCTACTCATAACTTAGAATTGTATTATAATTGTATTTCATATAATATTAATCGACATTCTGTGATCGATTCGCGTTACGGTAGCATTTTTCGACAAGGCAGCACAAATCGTCAGAACACCGGCACTAAAATAACCGACTTACCCCTGTAAATGTTTAAAATACCGTACGAGCCCATGATAAACAATATTAGCGTCCGAATAGGACTTAACTGACAGTAGCCTATGCTTTCACTGGCCTTTAAAAGCGCTCTTTAATTAAAATAAATTTATAAAATTCTAACAACAATCAGTGTAATGACAATTTTATTCTTTGCATGAAAACACTTGAATTAGCCTAATTTAACACTGTCTGTGTGTATTAAAACTTCAGAATTATATTCATTTAAACCTTTAACAGTGATAAGGTAAAGCTAAGAGTGGTCCAGACCAACCTTCCGAACGTATGACTTACAGAAGAGCGTTTCGGGAAACACGTATTAACCATAAGGTACAGCTTAAGGTGTAACTTAAGCAGAAAACTGAAATGATAATTTATTGTAAAATGCAGTCAAATAATCTTTGTTTTATTTACAAAAAAACAACAACAAAACAACAACATGTTTTACAGTAGCCGCTATACAGAATAACGTTCTTTCATTTTGCTGGACTAAACTAGAATAAAAAAAAAACTGCTTAAGTGTCTTTCTTAAACCCTTTTAGTGTTGCCCGCTTTCCCTGTTTGGGGTTCAAGTATTCTCACGCGATACTGACTCGTCATCTGCCATATAGATTTGAGTTTAAGCTGTGTGTCGAATCACTGATGAATGAGTACAAAAAAAAAACTCACTCACGCGCACAAACAGCTCTACGCACGTGAATAATACGGTTTTACATGTCTTTTGGTGTGATTCCAGCTAAATGTATTAACATAACATCCATGCAAGTGCTTAAGAAGAATTTGCACAGTCTGGACCGGGTCGTCTGGACCGGGTCACTTGCATTTGTGCTTGGGTCATAGTTACTCTATGAGAGAAAGCTTTCTCCGAGTCTAAACTATAGAGGGAAATTAGTTTGAGAGTGTAAAAACGGGGACAATTCAATTGCTCTATCACGCTCACGGGCAAACGGATGAATAAAATACATTAAATGGCCTATTTCCTGACTCTCACTGAAATTCCCATGGTGATATTTTAACCCGTGGAAATGTAGCCAACCATATCAAACGCACAGAAGTTGGGCTTGGATTTATAAAAAGCCCTTTGGCGACAGATTTGACACAAATGCTGCTCCTCTTTTCCCAAGCCTGGAGTTCCATGTGCTTTAACAAACCAAGAGGGCCCATACTGAGACACTGGGGTATTCTGGCGACTGTTTGGGAAAGTGATTACCAGGGATATTTCCGCGTTACCAGAAGGCGCACGTTTGACCCCGCACTTGCTTTTGTTTAGTTTATTCTTTTCATAAGACACCATGTTTGCGAATCGTCTGCATTTCGCCCGACCAATTTTAGCAGGGCGATTTTAACCAGGTTGGATACGGCCGAGCGCTCTCTTTGGCTCCGAAGCTTTAATGCAATTACCTCTGCTCTAATCACATTGCCTGAACAAAGACGTCAAAGTCTTTGCTGAATTTCGGGGGTTCTGGAATGCCCGCAGTGTTGCATGAAAAATCACACAGTCTAAAAGAAGTGTGATAAGTAAAAACAGATGCACAGGCTAATGCACTTAGACACGGTTTGGCTTAAAAAAGACTAGAAAAAATCCCTCATCTGACATAACCTATTTATACTAGCGAACAATGTGATAGTAAAACGAATACATTTAAGTTGAAAGCCAACTCGCGAGGCAGGTGCAACTTGACACATATACCCCCGGTTTTAAGCCTTAAACAGTCCCAGACTAAAATGCATGTTTGAGCTGTTTTAACTCAAAGCAACTATCCTAAAATATGCCAGTGCCATTGTTTTGTATCAAGATGCATACCAGTTATGTTTTTTTTTCTCTAAGGCACGTTTATAAAAGTTACTCAAATCCTAACTGAACTAAGACCTAATCCTGGCTTAATCTGAGCCCTTTCTGTGAAACCGGGCTGTATAAAATAATTTCCAATGCTGTTTATAGCATTCAAAGAATGCCTACTGATTAGGCTCAAATGGAATAATGAACAAGTCATGGAGCAAAGAAACATCTGCATTTTTGGTGGCAGTACAACTTTACTACACCATACGGGACCACTGCGTCTCAATCTCCGTGACAGAGGCGCATCCCTCTATGTGTCATAAAACCAAACCACGGATTCAACTCTTGTCATTGATATTCTGTCCTTTCCCAGTCCAACAATGAATGGCCCCAGCAGGTGGAACGCAGACCATGAGGTTGGCTTCCAATCTTGCGCGCGAACTTTGTCGCTGGAATGCGCGTGAACGAGCGCGCGCTGCCGTTGTAAAGGCACGCGAGCATCTGTCGCCTCGTCTGTCTCATTATCCCTCATTCGATTAGCGCCTTCTCTTTCAAGGCGGGTAGCGTCTCGCTTTCTCAATAGACCCCTGGTCACAAAGGTCTCTGACAATGCGCATTGTTATTCATAGCGGGCCAAAGAGCAAACTTAGTCCTCTCCCCCTGGTTGGAACGGTACTTTTACTGCTTTATGAGTCGTTGAGCGGGATAACAAGACTCGAGAGCCTGTTTGCTCGCGTGATGCATGTAGTGTTCGTTCTTAAGAGCACTATATTGAGCTTCGTGTCGCGGTGAGGGCGACAAATTTATTGCTGTTCTTTAACAGTAGCCCACTATGGTAACCCAGCCCTGCTATAAAACCACAAGTTAGTGTATGTACAGGCTAATTTGTGGAAATGATATGACAGCTGCACTCGAGGGCCACCCTCAGCTACACTGTGTTGCTAATGTTGCCAGTGAGAGTTTATGCTTACAGTGCAGAGAGAGCTTAATACTGTCCATTCATATTTGACTGAAATCAAAGATTGCATATTGTATGAATGAAAAGCCTTGGGTACACAGTTCCCAAGTCAAAAATCCCTAGGAAAGTGATTCCTGCTGAAAATCTATCATCATTTGGAATCAGAGCTAAAGTATAGGCCTATTCTAATGGGAATATCTGTATCAACTGATATTCCCACAGGCTTTTTGCTCTATTGGATAGCCTACTGTGAAATCTTTATCAAAACCCACTTGTATTAGAACAATCTTCTGCCGTGCCGCTACAAAGAAAATGTAATTATATCAGGCACTAAATTAATCATTTAATTCTGTTTTTGTTTTATTGTGACTGTTTTCTATATAAATTTATATAACAAAACACATCATTGAGTGCTTTTTTCAGTTACACATAAAATGATAAATATACATTTTATTCCATTGCTAATCATAATAGTCCTACTGGGAACCATGTGCTCAAAATATCTAGAATCAAGAATGTTTTTCTTGTTTAATACTATGCAGAAAAAAAGTACATCTTGTCACTGGGACAGATCCATTAATGACCATATGTACCCTTGGGGTTGTATATCCCATAGGGGTAGATAAGGTACAAAAATGTATCTTTTGAGTGTACTGCCCCAGTGACAAGCTGTGTTACCACAACAATTTATTTTATTCTACAGTCGTATGTTGCAATCTGTTAGTAGCCTATCCTATTAGTGAACTTTAGGATTGAGTCAAGTAAGTATTTCTCCTCTCTGTTTTTGCAGAAATAGGTTATAGGTTCAGTTTTTTTTAAACTGAGAGTCAATGTCATGTACCTGCGTGCACATGCACACACACACACACACACACACACACACACACACACACACACACACATACCTACTTAACCACAATGTGAGGACGTATGACTGGGAACCCTACCTTTAGGGACACCCCTTTCTGAAGGGTCTAGAGACAAAAGAAAGACATGACTGCACTTCTGGAGAAGCTGTCATCACACTTATCACTTGAT